TTGAGCATGGGATCATGTCCCAGTAGATCGATGATCATGGTGTTGAGCATGGGATCATGTCCCAGTAGATCGGTGATCAAGGTGTTGAGCATGGGATCATGTCCCAGTAGATCGGTGATCATGGTGTTGAGCATGGGATCATGTCCCAGTAGATCGATGATCATGGTGTTGAGCATGGGATCATGTCCCAGTAGATCGGTGATCAAGGTGTTCAGCATGGGATCATGTCCCAGTAGATCGGTGATCATGGTGTTCAGCATGGGATCATGTCCCAGTAGATCGATGATCATGGTGTTGAGCATGGGATCATGTCCCAGTAGATCGATGATCATGGTGTTGAGCATGGGATCATGTCCCAGTAGATCGATGATCATGGTGTTCAGCATGGGATCATGTCCAGACTTGATTATTTATAGACCGTCATCATGCAGCTGCAATAACGCTAGATGCAGTGTTAAACAACAAACAAATAAATAAACAACACAGAGGTCCAACATCTTTTATAGAAATGTTCCAAACTGGAGATATTCAAGCTGGCTGTCAAGACGTACACATCTATCGGGTCGCAGCACGGAAGTGTTGCCCTGCACAGAACTACTTATACAGATGTACTGTGATATTTACTTTTCCATGTTAAATGGAAGTGCTGTGTTTGTCTGTATGAGGCTGATCACAGAGCCTGCCATTTCACATATTGTCTTACCTCTTGTGACATTTTGGAAACATTTAGTAAAATCATTGTGAAATAGATTATCCAGTGAAACTGCGTCTTAGAAGGAAACAAGGGTGTTCTAAGTCATGTAGCCCAGTCTGAACAAAGCTGCATTGGACAGCTGCAACAAAGAGCATACTTACTGGCTCTCTCACTAGATTTGGGGATCTAAAGGTTTTTCCCTGCCATTTCCTCCTTGCTAAAGGCTAGATATATGTTGTTTGAAGGAAGGGAGGCACATGTTCATGGCTTATAAATTGATAGATGGGGCCTACGAGCCACATCAAACAATATTTGGAACAAGGAGACTTTGGTTTAGTTGTCCTGCTCTTGAATAATAAGAACAAAATCTATCAGCTACAAGACAGCTTAAATTAAGACATTAGTTGATTAATAAGTGTTAGCTTCAGACACACACCAAGTAAAAATGAAATGCAGCATTCACATGTTGCATGGAATTGCACCAAGAATTTTGTATGTGAGGCAATCACTTAGACACATAGGCTACCTGGTATTCAGATGTTGAAATATGTCTATAAAGAAATTTGTTTTAACTTTGTACTTAAAATCACTGTATAACTGTATTAACTCACTCACTGGTATGCTGATTGACTCATTTATGGTCATTGTATTTCACAATACTTTCCGTTAATTTGTTCGTAACGTGTCCATTAACCTTACTTGTAAAATGCTACACCAACCTTCCTGTCATTTTTAATATCAATGCCAACTGTCCTGGTGACCAATGAACATACTGTCGACAGTTTAGATGGGTTCTGCAGAGTACAGGGTACAATATATTTCTATGAATATATAATTATTTAGAAAAACAGGCAATGATAAGGTTGGTTGGTTGGTTGTTTAACTCTGCACTCAGCAATATTCCAGCTATATGGCAGTGGTATGTAAACAATCGAAGTCTGGACCAGACAATCCAGTGGTCAACAGCATGCATATCAACTACAACGCAATTGGGATACGATGACATGTGTCAATCAGGTCAGCAAGCCAGACCACCCCATCCGGTTAGTTGCCTTTTATGACAAACATGGCTTTCTGAAGACCAATTCTAATCCCAGATTTTCACTGTGCAAGGATTATATGTACATGATATTGACATGAGTGTTGCCATAGAGTCAGATGGTGTTGGTTAAAGGGGTAGGGAATGTGATGCGTTGACAGGAGGCCTTTAAGCTATATCAACAGGTAGGGTCATGACTTTGAAACATTCGTGTCACTTGTATTTCCTTGAACACTGACACCGATTTATTCCAGATTTCAGGTTACTGGATACATGGCACAGCTTTTTCACATTTATTTACATTTTCCATTTTGTCGTATGTTAACCCAGCTAGTATACCTCAGTCATGTGGGTTTGTTTTGTGTGCTGGGTAATACCAAAATAATTGCATTTACGCAAACAGTAGTTGATAATCTGGATCCATTTCACAAAGCTATCATAGCGTTACGACTGTCGTAAATCTATGTTACAGTAAGGGAGGTACGATAGTCGTAGCGCTACGATAGGTTTGTGGAACGGGCCCTGGTTGGTGAATGATAGTGGGAATATTTCCTTTCAGTGTCAATATAGTGCTAGACTAACGCTTAGTCTCTGAATATATATAATTTTGATAGTAACAAACAAGCCCATTTAAATTGAAAAGGAGCCCCGAGGAGACCAGAGACCTGAACCTGAGGAAATCTAGACTTGCTTCGTTTAGGGCTTGGCAGTAGGGAAAATAATGTGGTTCAGGGACTGTGAGACAGACTAATATAGTGCCTGCATCGATTCATCAAGAATATTGGTCATTAACATATATCTAAGATAACACCCGTATTGTGTTGGAGACTCTTGATTCCAGTGTTAATCACTTCAGGACAGCATTTGTTTGTATTATGTTTTGGAGGGTGTGGGTTAGTCCTCCCTTTATAAGTTGATTTAAGGTGACTATTCTTCTTTCATCATAACCTTCCCCAAGTGGGTTATCTGATGAAGAAGAAGCACCATCTTTAATCTTTTTAGTAGAATGAGGATCAACCCTCAGATATTCTGCTAACTGGGCAGTTGCTCTATCAACAAGCGGAGATGGTCATTCACTGTATTGTATCATGATAACCAGTTGCAGGTTTGTTATAACAGTAAAATCTGAACGCAGTGCCAGGTGCCATTGTTCTAGTTCTACCGTATTCAATGTATTAAGCACCCCCTCTGTAATAAGCACCTCCTCCATTAGAAATACATAGCATGCAGAAAATACACCAACCACACACACCACACACCACACACACACCACACCACACCACACCACACACCCACACACCACACCACACCACACCACACCACACACCACACACCACACCCATGGGGTATCCTAATAAGTGCTCCTTTTGGACTTTTATTAGCTAAGCACCATGGGCGCTAACTACTTTCAATACAGTATATGGCTGGAAGGTGCACTTGTGGAGGAGGTTATACCATAACTGTGTGTTATAATCCAGTTTTTGTTATCCTGTTTTCAATATATTACCTCACCACATGTGTGTAATGAGAAGATGGCATTTGTATTGCTTCTTAAGGAAGAGGTGTGAATGCCCTTTCTGCATAGTTTTTACTGTATTTCTTCAGCCATGAAAATATCAGCATCTGTGGAAAAGAATGACAAAAACTTCCTGGGGATAATTGTGTAATGATTCTGTGTGTCAAATCACAGACAGTGGCAATAACTTATACCTGTTGTATAAGCAATCAGTCCGAAAAAATGTGCTAATGTGGAAGTCTTTACCAAACTTAGAAGCCTATTTAGAATTCTGAAAATCTCAAGATCTTTGGTAAAAAATATCTTGGCACAGTGTGAAGTGTTTGTGTACACTGTGAGACCTTCACCAGGTATTTGATAGGAGCAGGCAGACAGGAAGACAGTGGTGTTGGTGATCTACTGTTACAGTTGTTACCAGGCTAGAGTTTCTGTCTGGAATGGGATACTCCAGTGAAAAAGTAGGAACAGGAAGGATATTTTACAACACTTCAAATAGTGCTGTGGGTTGAATGGTATAGCTGTATGAGTTGCCTCCCTTGATGAGCTTGTCTCCAGCATCAATGTGGCTCATAGCATGTACGAGAATAGGTTTACTTTTCAATCAAAATATGAGTTTGTTGATATATCATTGTGTTATAAACAAATATGTGGATACGCAGAGTGAGTGAGTGAGTGAGTTGGGTTAAATATCAGTTTTAGCAATATTGCAGTAATGTCATGATACTAGTTTTATGTTGGAAGTCACTCAAGTCAGTGAGGCTTATCTGTTTAATGAAACCCATTTTGATGAGAATTATGTGAATTATACAAACTAAATCAGGATGAATTTGGTATTCAAACCCACAGTCTGTGAAACTTGACATGTTGACATTGCATCAAATGATGGACCTTAGTCCTCTGGGCAAACACAACACTCCATGATGTATTTAACACATCATTCTGTCCCAACCTTGCAGGCAGGTTAACACAACCTTCTGACTTTCCTGCAGCATTTTGACAATGTCACCTGTTAGCAGGGAATATACATAACAGAGGGCTGAGATGTATAAGATATTGCAGTGAACTCTGCATATATTGCTACAAAATAAATGTTTGAATATTACTTCCTAGACAAATGCTTAGTTTCTGAATATATATAATTTTGACAGAAACAATTAAATCCTTTTTAAATTGAAAGGAGACCCTGAACCTGACAGAATCTATATTTGCTACATTTAGGACTTTAACATCTCCAGAAAGGGATGGGCAAGAAGATATAGTTTGTCTTGTCCATCAGTTTGTTATAACCATAGTTTATCATCAGTGAGTGAGTGAGTGCGTTTAGCTTTATGCCACACTCAGCAATATTCCAGCTATATGGCAGCAGTCTGTAAATAATCGACCAGACAATCCTGTGATCAACAGCTTGAGCATTGATCTACACAAATGGGATACAATGACGTGTGTCAATCAAGTCAGTGAGTCTGACCACCCGATCCCGATAGTTGCCTCTTACAACAAGTATGGGTGACTGAAGATCAATTCTAACTCTGATCTTCACAGGTCTTATCATCAGTGAAATATTGACAGTGTTACAACGAGTTTCACCTCACCTGAACGTTGTTTCAGTCACAGGTTTGTCTGATCCAGAGTTGACAAGTTTAGCCAGGCTGTGAAGTAGCTGGATCACAATACCAGTCAACTGTACTGTTATGTACATTGTATAGATGTATTTTGTGATGTGTAATAACGTGATGTATTGCTTGTTGCAGGGTATGGTGGTCAATGGGTTCGTCAATGTGGTGATATCTAATATCGAGAGACGCTTTGAGATCAGCAGTACCCAATCAGGCACGATAGCCAGCTGCTATGACATTGCTTCAGTTCTCTGTCTTATACCGGTCAGCTACTTCGGAGGTCTCGGGATCAAGCCCAGATATCTTGGCGTTGGAATATTTATTCTTGGAGTTGGTTCCTTTGTGTTCGCATTGCCCCATTTCACAACACCCCTGTACACTGTTCAGAGGACTCAAGAGAACATTTGTCGGATCGGTGGCAACACTACTGGGACATGTGACACAGGTTTAACAGAGTCTTTGTCGGATTACAAGTATGTGTTCTTCCTGGGCCAGCTGCTACACGGGGCAGGGGCGTCACCTCTCTACACCTCTCTACTTGCCTCTAAGGCCGAGTGGTGAGTGGATATATGAATCTGGATAATACCAAAACCAAACAATTGCCTCTAAGGTAGAAACCAGGGCCCTCGTCAGTTTCTATGTTGGTGAGTGGATGTATGAAGTGTTCGGATAATACCACAGTACCAAACAATTAGACCACAGTCAAACGTTCATTGAATAATCCAATCTGGACCAGGCAATCATGTGAATGATATCATCATCTACATGATTGGGATACGATGACATACATCAACCACGTCAGTGGGCCTGATTGCCGATCCTTGAACCCATGAGACACCTATTACGACATGCTTGGGTTGCTGTCAAATAGTTTGCTAGAAATGACTTCACGTAATCTAAGCCCAATACATGTCCTGTAGGTTGATGATTTTAAATCTTTATCTTATATAGGAGACAAATAAAATGTTTTCATCAATTATAGCTACCAATTCACGTCTTGGCCTGTCTTAATTCTGTGTATATCTTTGACTTTCAGGAATCTTCTACTCCTTTGCTATCATTGGTCCAGCAATTGGCTATATGGCAGGTGGCGAGTTCCTTAAGATTTTCACAGACACTGGTGCCATCGATACATCCAGGTAAATCGGTGTTCATGAACATGGGTGTTATTGATACATCAGGTAAACAGGCGTTTATGAACATTGTGCTATTGATACATCCAGGTTACACAGGTGTTCACAGACATTCGTGCTATTGATAGATGAAGCTTACACAGGTGAGGTGTTGACAGACATTAATGCTATTGATTTATCCAGGTAACACAGGTGTTCACAGATATAAGTGCTGTTGATAGATCCAGGTAACATGTGTTCACAGACATCAGTGCTGTTGATAGATGAAGTTGACACAGGTGTTGATAGACATTAATGCTATTGATTTATCCAGGTAACACAGGTGTTCACAGATATTAGTGCTGTTGATAGATCCAGGTAACATGTGTTCACAGACATCAGTGCTGTTGATAGATGAAGTTGACACAGGTGTTGATAGACATTAATGCTGTTGATTTATCCAGGTATATCTGTTCACAGATATTAGTGTTGTTGATAGATCTAGGTAACATATGTTGACAGTGCTGTTGATAGATCCAGTTGAGCGACATGGTGGCTAGTGGAAGTGTGTATAGTCACGCTGTGTGTTTCAGTCTCTCCATTACGACTGACAACCCCCGCTGGGTTGGGGCATGGTGGATTGGCTTCCTGTTTAGCGGCGCCCTTGCTTTCTTTGTTGCCGTCCCTCTCTCTGGATTCCCGCGAGCTCTGCCAGGTAATTACAGACTGCATTCTTGACACCCTTGTCTTAGACATACATGCTAGGATAGATGTCCTTATGGATCAGTCATTGTTAAAGGCAGGTTTTTTTCACCTGTGATATGATTCACGTTTTGTAAGATTATATCAAAAGATATCTGATCGATATTTTGTTTTGTGTTACACCAAGGACCATAATGAAAACTGCCCCAAGAAACAGTACACCCAAACCAGAATAACATCGTCTCCCAGAGCTTGTAACTGGTGTGCTCAGTGAACCAAACCAAGAATGTCCTGGCAATTATACATCATCCAGGGCACCCTTTTAAGATCATCCATGGATGCCATCCAGAATTATTCACCAGTAGTCTTCTGCATTTCATGGTCTGATTGTGAAAGTTTAGATTGTAAAGCCCCAGCATATGGTGAAAGTTCAGATTGTAAAGCCCCAGATTAAGGTGAAAGTTCAGATTTATAGACTCCACTGGAACACATACCTGTATGTATAATCCACTTCTGTGGACATGACATCAATGTGTATTGCTGTGTGCAGGCTCCAGCAAGTATATAGCAGAGCGGGGCAAGGAGGTCCACAAGGGCAGCAGTGAAGATGAGGCTAACAAGATAGGCAATAAGAGAGGGATCAAAGACATATTACTCTCCATCAAACTACTTGTGAGCAATCCAACGTTCATGTTCCTCAACTTTGCAGCAGCCAGTGAAGGTATGCATGTTTTAGCTCATATACACTGCTGTATTCTAAACAATTTGTTGTCTATCATACTGAAACACCATAGTGATGATCCTGGACTGACATGTAGTCCCTGAAATATAATGATGTATTTACCCATAGGGTTATAAATAACTGAGTTCTTAAAACGTGTGTGTGATTTAGTGCAAGTATCACTTTATCGACCCTTGGGAATTGTTTGCATCAGAAATGAAGTTGACATCATTCGAAAAATGGTAGTTTTCTGAATTTGGTATCAATCTGAAATTTGTAATGCACTACACTAATGATATATCTTTCTCTATTGCTGCCTACCATACAATTTATGTGAAACACATATGAAACAGTCAAGATTTATCTGAAGTATGTAGAGGCTGTGTACTGGCTGCTGTTACCTGCCACTGTTACCTGCCTCTGTTACCTGCCACTGTTACCTGTGCCTCTGTTACCTGTCACTGTTACCTGCCTTTGTTACCTACCACTGTTACCCGCCTTTGTTACCTACCCGCCTCTGTTACCCGCCCTGTTACCTCTGTTGCCGCCCTGTTACCCGCCTTGTTACCTCTGTTACCTGCCACTGTTACCTGCTGCTGTTACCTACCACTGTTACCTGCTGTTGTTAGACCACTGTTACCTGCCGCTGTTACCTGCCCCTGTTCCTGCCTCTGTTACCTGCCTTTGTTACCTGCTGCTGTTACCTACCACTGTTACCTGCTGTTGTTAGACCACTGTTACCTGCCGCTGTTACCTGCATCTGTTCCCTGCCTCTGTTACCTGCCACTGTTACCTGCTGCTGTTACCTACCACTGTTACCTGCTGTTGTTAGACCACTGTTACCTGCCTCTGTTCCCTGCCTCTGTTACCTGCCTCTGTTACCTGCCACTGTTACCTGCCTCTATTACCTGTGGACTGTCTCCTCTGTTACAGGCATCCTCCTCAGTGGATTCTCTACATTTGCTCCCAAGTTCATCGAGGCTCAGTTCAGTTTGCCAGCTGCAAGTGCGGCCCAGTTTGTTGGTAAGTGGAAATATCTAGAAAAAGTACTGGTACTATTGAAAGTGTAATCTCAAATATAACACTCCATGAGTGTAGATTGGGTGAGAGATCATCCTTAAGCTGACTGTGAGATCTGGGCTAGACTAGGTCCGAGGTACGCCATGTCTGAGAGATGTCTCTCTGTCAATCAGGTCTGTGGCTTGACTGATTCCACCTTGGCACAGATTAATGGTTCTGTACCCAGTCAATGGTTTGGCTGGTCCAGATCTACAAGCAGGAATATTAGGATGTGAATCAGTGTAGGAAAGATAGCCCGTCCCAACGTCCAAGACGGGTGAATTTTGTGGAGGACGGGTTAAAAAAATATCTAGTCCGTCCTCATGTCGGGTCAATTTTAGCAAACCAATGACATATATATATAATGATTATAACCTTTTGATTTACTGCCGAAGGTGTTTTATTTATATTTGGAGGACAGGCTAGATTTTGGCAGGACTGGTAAAAAATTTGACCTGCCAGTCCTGTGGACAGGCTAGATTTTCTACATCTTTCCTACACTGATGTGAATACTGTTGGTATCATCAGATGTGATGCCTATTGTTGGTATCATCAGATGTGATGCCTACTGTTGGTATCATCAGATGTGATGCCTATTGATGGTATCATCAGATGTGATGCCTATTGTTGGTATCATCAGAAGTGATGCCTATTGTTGGTATCATCAGATGTGATCCCCCCTTGTTGGTATGATCAGATGTTTCTGGCTCCTACCCAGTGTGTGTATGTATATGTGATGGCTCCTACCCAGTGTGTGTATGTATATGTGATGGCTCCTACCCAGTGTGTGTGTGTATGTGATATGTGATGGTATATCTGGCCCTCACCCAGTGTGTGTATGTATATGTGATGGCTCCTACCCAGTGTGTGTATGTATATGTGATGGCTCCTACCCAGTGTGTGTATGTATATGTGATGGCTCCTACCCAGTGTGTGTATGTATATGTGATGGCTCCTACCCAGTGTGTGTATGTATATGTGATGGCTCCTACCCAGTGTGTGTATGTATATGTGATGGCTCCTACCCAGTGTGTGTATGTATATGTGATGGCTCCTACCCAGTGTGTGTATGTATATGTGATGGCTCCTACCCAGTGTGTGTATGTATATGTGATGGCTCCTACCCAGTGTGTGTATGTATATGTGATGGCTCCTACCCAGTGTGTGTATATGTATGTACCCAGTGTGTGTGTATATGTGATGGCTCCTACCCAGTGTGTATGTATATGTGATGGCTCCTACCCAGTGTGTGTGTGTGTATGTATATGTGATGGCTCCTACCCAGTGTGTGTATGTATATGTGATGGCTCCTACCCAGTGTGTGTATGTATATGTGATGGCTCCTACCCAGTGTGTGTATGTATATGTGATGGCTCCTACCCAGTGTGTGTATGTATATGTGATGGCTCCTACCCAGTGTGTATGTATATGTGATGGCTCCTACCCAGTGTGTATGTATATGTGATGGCTCCTACCCAGTGTGTGTATGTATATGTGATGGCTCCTACCCAGTGTGTGTATGTATATGTGATGGCTCCTACCCAGTGTGTGTATGTATATGTGATGGCTCCTACCCAGTGTGTGTATGTATATGTGATGGCTCCTACCCAGTGTGTGTATGTATATGTGATGGCTCCTACCCAGTGTGTGTATGTATATGTGATGGCTCCTACCCAGTGTGTATGTATATGTGATGGCTCCTACCCAGTGTGTATGTATATGTGATGGCTCCCTACCCAGTGTGTGTATGTATATGTGATGGCTCCTATCCCCAGTGTGTATGTATATGTGATGGCTCCTATCCAGTGTGTACCCAGTGTGATGGCTCCACCCAGTGTGTGTATGTATATGTGATGGCTCCTACCCAGTGTGTGTGTATGTATATTAGATGGCTCCTACCCAGTGTGTATGTATATGTGATGGCTCCTACCCAGTGTGTATGTATATGTGATGGCTCCTACCCAGTGTGTATGTATATGTGATGGCTCCTACCCAGTGTGTGTATGTATATGTGATGGCTCCTACCCAGTGTGTGTATGTATATGTGATGGCTCCTACCCAGTGTGTATGTATATGTGATTGCTCCTACCCAGTGTGTATGTATATGTGATGGCTCCTACCCAGCAGACATGGGGTAATTGTAATTTGTAATTGTAATTGAATGTAATTAATTACAAAAATCTATGTAATTGCATGTAATTTGTAATTGAATGTTTAAAATGTATTTTGTAGTTGTAATTTAGTTAATTAATATCTCAATGTAATTGAATTTTTCAATTACTTATTCAATTACATCAAATTACATCTCACTTTTTTATTTTGGTGGTCATCAGGCAACCCTTGCAATTATATTCTGTACAATAAGGAGGACAAAGCAGTGTTTTTCAATAAGATGCTTGTTGACGGTATATTCTCTAGCAGGTGTTAAGTTTTGAAACAGATTTGAATGTCTAAGCGTTTGTAACTATCACCATCTGCACATTTGTGAAACAAAGGGAATCAGTAACGCAGGACTGAATGTAGGTTGGTATTTGAGGAAATGGGGGATTAACAGTACTATTAGTCAAGTTCCTATCAAAATGGCCTCTTTGTTTATTTCTCATAGGATATGATATTCAAAATCTTACTGAACTCAGAGACCATATAATATTATATGGTCTCTGCTGAACTGTAGTCCTATTTTTATAATCATGAAAGGTAATAAGCCATAAATCCAAGTTGACAAATCCTTTAGTATGTTAATATGGATTATGTCAGATAGAGAGACCGGCTGATTATATATTGTAATGTAGGCCTGTAATGATGTCATGATACAGTACACCTAAGGTAACAGTGGTGGACAAAGTGTTTTTTGCAACAAGAGATGATAGAGGTGTGTATTTGATAATAAGCCCAAAGAAATATGCAAAATACAAATTTGATCAAATAGTGTACATTGTAGATATGATCTACTTTTGCATTTCACTTTTTGATGACAAAAATATTAATTGGATTTAGTGACCACTGCTTACCAACATCGATATGTTGTTGATTAAAGGAATACAGGAATATATTTGTTGTTTTTCGGGGGTTTTATCTTAACAAAGTAATTTGTAATGTGATTAATTACATTGGTAATGTAATTGTAATTTAATTAATTACATTTCAAAGTAATTGAACCCATGACTGCTACCCAGTGTGTATGTATATGTGATGGCTCCTACCCAGTGTGTATGTATATGTGATGGCTCCTACCCAGTGTGTATGTATATGTGATGGCTCCTACCCATTGTGTGTATGTATATGTGATGGCTCCTACCCAGTGTGTGTATGTATATGTGATGGCTCCTATCCAGTGTGTGTATGTATATGTGATGGCTCCTACCCAGTGTGTATGTATATGTGATGGCTCCTACCCAGTGTGTGTATGTATATGTGATGGCTCCTACCCAGTTTGTGTATGTATATGTGATGGCTCCTACCCAGTGTGTATGTATATGTGATGGCTCCTACCCAGTGTGTATGTATATGTGATGGCTCCCTACCCAGTGTGTATGTATATGTGATGGCTCCTACCCAGTGTGTGTGTGTATATGTGATGGCTCCTACCCATTGTGTGTATGTATATGTGATAGCTCCTACCCAGTGTGTATGTATATGTGATGGCTCCTACCCAGTGTGTATGTATATGTGATGGCTCCTACCCATGTGTGTGTATGTATATGTGATGGCTCCTACCCAGTGTGTATGTATATGTGATGGCTCCTACCCAGTGTGTGTATGTATATGTGATGGCTCCTACCCAGTGTGTATGTATATGTGATGGCTCCTACCCAGTGTGTATGTATATGTGATGGCTCCTACCCAGTGTGTGTATGTATATGTGATGGCTCCTACCCAGTGTGTGTATGTATATGTGATGGCTCCTACCCAGTGTGTATGTATATGTGATGGCTCCTACCCAGTGTGTATGTATATGTGATGGTTCCTACCCATTGTGTGTATGTATATGTGATGGTTCCTACCCAGCGTGTGTATGTATATGTGATGGCTCCTACCCAGTGTGTATGTATATGTGATGGCTCCTACCCAGTGTGTATGTATATGTGATGGCTCCTACCCAGTGTGTATGTATATGTGATGGCTCCTACCCAGTGTGTATGTATATGTGATGGCTCCTACCCAGTGTGTATGTATATGTGATGGTCTCCTACCCAGTGTGTGTATGTATATGTGATGGTTCCTACCCAGCTGTGTGTATGTATATGATGATAGCCTACCCAGTGTGTATGTATATGTGATGGCTCCTACCCAGTGTGTATGTATATGTGATGGCTCCTACCCAGTGTGTATGTATATGTGATGGCTCCTACCCAGTGTGTATGTATATGTGATGGCTCCTACCCAGTGTGTATGTATATGTGATGGTTCCTACCCAGTGTGTGTATGTATATGTGATGGCTCCTACCCAGTGTGTATGTATATGTGATGGCTCCTACCCAGTGTGTATGTATATGTGATGGCTCCTACCCAGTGTGTATGTATATGTGAAATCCCTTGTCTCTTCAGGTTACGCAGCCATCCCAGCGGGTGGAGGTGGCACATTTCTCGGAGGTTACATCGTCAAACGCTTCAATATGAAGGTGTCCGGGATCATCAAGTTTTGTCTTGGTGCTACAATAATCGTCCTATTTGTCGCCTTAGTCTTCTTGATCAACTGTGAAAATGTCCCTTTTGCTGGTATCAATGTCAAATACAACACCAGTGCCAATAACATGTGAGTACATGCATGCAGTCCACGGTTCTGGGGAGGGAGGTGAATCAGACATTTGTATATTTGTCACACCTGTGGAATCATGCACGTGACATTGTCATTGTCGAGACATGCAGAAATCTTGCGGACTTCGATTCTAAGGTTCTTCTTTCAAAGGAAAGGATGGTTTCCCTGAAGTTTGCTAACCTTAATACCAAAGGAAAACTGTTGGTCACCTGAGACGATTACAGGATAAGAGTCTGGAGAACCTGTGTAGTGATAACTGTTTGTTTCAAGTGATGATGCACTTGTTCATTCATCTTAAGCACCAATATTTACTGTGCTGGCTTACATTGCTTAGTTGCACCAGGATCTGCAGATCTTGGGTTTGAATCCCAAATCCTCACTGACCATGGTCCAGGGTTTCTGAACACTATACCCATGGTGGACATTGGTTTCACTGGAGAAGTCTACAGCCTGGTGCATATTGACATTTCTTTATACATGAAGCTAACATGATGTGATATAGGGAAGGATAACATTATATGGATGAACAACAACAATAGTCACTGTAATAAAGACGATGGATGAACAACAACAATAGTCACTGTAATAAAGACGTTGTTAATCCATATAATGGTATCCTTGTTTACTGCTCCAACTGCTAAATGCCTCAAAGAAGTGATGACATATTGCTGAAATATTGTCCAAAGTGATGATATAATGCTGAAATATTGTCCAAAGTGATGATATATTGCTCAAATATTGTCCAAAGTGATGATATATTGCTCAAGTATTGTCCAAAGTGATGATATATTGCTCAAATATTGTCCAAAGTGATGATATATTGCTCAAATATTGTCCAAAGTGATGATATAATGCTCAAATATTGTCCAAAGTGATGATATAATGCTCAAATATTGTCCAAAGTGATGATATATTGCTCAAATATTGTCCAAAGTGATGATATATTGCTCAAATATTGTCCAAAGTGATGATATAATGCTCAAATATTGTCCAAAGTGATGACATAAAAGTGATGATATATTGCTCAAATATTGTCCAAAGTGATGATATATTGCTCAAATATTGTCCAAAGTGATGATATATTGCTCAAATATTGTCCAAAGTGATGATATATTGCTCAAATATTGTCCAAAGTGATGATATATTGCTCAAATATTGTCCAAAGTGATGATATATTGCTCAAATATTGTCCAAAGTGATGATATAATGCTCAAATATTGTCCAAAGTGATGACATAAAAGTGATGATATATTGCTCAAATATTGTCCAAAGTGTTGATATAATGCTCAAATATTGTCCAAAGTGATGATCTATTGCTCAAATATTGTCCAAAGTGATGATATATTGCTCAAATATTGTCCAAAGTGATGATATATTGCTCAAATATTGTCCAAAGTGATGATATATTGCTCATATATTGTCCAAAGTGATGAAGGCAGTGGGGTAGCCTAGTGGTTAAAGCTTTTGCTCATAATGCCACACACCTGGGTTCGATTCCCCACAAAGTGTGTAGCCCATTTCTAGTGTCCCCGCTTTGATATTGCTGGAATATTGCTAAAAGCGGTGTAAAACTAAACTAACTCACTCACCCAAATTGACTAAAGAACTTGCTCACTCACTGTTTAACCTACAGGGAGTTAGGATTCCTGGGCAAGAATTTGGACAACACATGTAACAGTAACTGTGCGTGTACGGAGGACGACTACCACCCAGTGTGTGGCCGGGACGGACTCATGTACTTCTCCCCCTGCTATGCTGGATGTCAGGTGTCTGAGAGTGGCAGTGTCAAGGTCAGCATTCAATATGGACTGAGATATGAGCATGTCGCTGTCGCAGTGGCACTCGTGTTAACTGTGTTTTGTTATGTTGACATTTGTCCCTTAGTCTGTGTTTATTTCTGCCTCTTTAATACTGAATGTTCATCTCTATTTTGGTTGTCATTTTTATCAAATATTTAATAAACGAGTTTCAAAAACCGATTTTAACAAAGTCAACATTATGAAACATGCTATTTAGGGCTGTTTTGAGGAGGAAAATATTCCAGAAGAATATGCTGATGAAAAACCTATTTTTTAAACACGGAAATATCATCTATTATGAATCTTTTAGTGAACATTCAGTAGAAATTATGATTCTATTTGAATTTGTTCTGTTAGATTCTGTTTGTTTGCATGAGCTGTTTTGTGCATGAATTTCTTATGAGTTTTCCCAAGGCTTCCTTTACTTTTGTTTAGTTTATTTGCAATCTGATTTGTGTGTAGATAGTTCTTTTCACATTCTGAAATTTCTCCCCAAACAGAGTGGAGTGGAAGAGGTAATTATCACAGCATCATTTGGGACATTTAGGTTGTCTCCCTTTGTTGAGATTTCTACCGATCTTTCTCTAGTAATTTATTAAATGACATCAGTTGACTGAAACCTTTGCCAAATCAAAGTAGAAGTCTGTTTGAACTTCCAGCGATTACGTCATGTCTTAACGCCTATTTTCTAGCTGGTTTAAGAAATACTAACATAATCCACCTCATCATAATTGCATGACAGTAATTGTTCAAGTAGTCACTAGTCTGATAATTAGTCATGTCAATAAGGTAAGTTTCATTTTTACAGCTTTTTCTCTTTGCTGATCACAGTGTGAGCACAGAAACTGTTACATTTGTATCCAGATGTATATCCTCCAATAACATTGTACTGACACTTTTTCCTCTGCCTCGACACTGCACCTTTGTATGATGTACTCATAGATCAATGTCATTTCAATGTTGACACTGGTATTCTACACTCACCCAGGTAAAGAGGAAGCACTGATCATTTAACCTATGCAGCGGTGACTTTTACCGGTGTGCATTAGCAAATTAACTTCTAAGCGATATTTGCTGGTCTGCGTAAGGAGTATCTGAAGCTTGTTTTCAGATAGGTGTTTTTGGCTTTGAAATGATGTGATCTGTACTGTCCAGTTGCCAATTGATGCCAATGCTTCACATTCTATAGTGCCAGGTGACCATGGCAACTAGTACATGTTTGACAGATATAGGTATATGCGGAAATCCTTCAATGTGGTAACTGTTTCACATACAAGTTAAAATATAGTCAACATTTTTCAATAATTTAGCTACTTGCAGATAAAATGTTCATTTATTAAAAGATTAATATGTTTTTCTACTAATATTGAACAAATGAATAAATTTCAATTAAATCAAATTTTTCCATCCTTAACATCATACAATGAAGTTACAATCCAATGACGTCATAGTTTGCTCTTCACTTCGCCTTTAGCAGTATGAGCCTGTCGTAACATTGGAATGAATCTATTTTGTGTACAATATGTTTTGTTGTCTTACTTTTACTCCATGATGCCAAGCTAAAGCAGTTCATACTAACATATTTCATATCAGGGCCTTTGTGTGTTGATATGTCATTTACCAGCAGACATCTTTGATATGTGATAGTTCAGAACTGAATGTATCGTTCAAAGTACATTTTCATTGTCAATGGGTTTTTAAAGAAAGTATATGGCATATATCGTTTCATCCACCATTCAATACCATGATTCATTATGACATAATGTTTGACAGAGACAGTCAGAAAGTATTTTGTGTGTGCCAACAGTGTTGACAGTTTTTCTAGTAAGATGCATGTGGGGAAATATCTCACTGCTAACTCTAATATATTATTTGCTATCAGTAACAATACTGATCAGTAATCTGTTATTATTACTATTTTTAACAAGTATTAAAAAACTAAATTGATAGATAGTTGTGATAATAGGATAATTGTAAACCATTATTCATGACAGTAAAGAACAATAGAACATTTGCACACTAACATGGCACAATGTGTATCCTGCATTATTTGCTGCCAGAATACACCCTGGTATTAATGGCAAGTATGACCAGTAAAGCTTTAATTGTTTGTTAAGAATAAGGCTTTAGTACATTAGCGGCTTTGATATGTACCTTTGGTCTGTTTTGTTTGCCAGAAACAATCGGTGCTTCTCAACATCAGAACTGGGGTTTTGGTACAGCCTAGCCAAGTAAGTGTAAGTCTGTGTTGTTCTGTTTCAGCGTTACTCGAACTGTTCCTGTATCAACAGTAATACTTCAGATTACATGGCAGAGTTTGGCAAGTGCGAGACATCTTGTATCTGGTTACCTCTCTTCATGCCGTTCTTCGCCATGATGATGCTACTCACCTTCATCACCAGCATGCCTGCTCTGTCAGCAACACTCAGGTCAGTGGAACATCTTGATGGTGTATAGCATGGGTCAGTGGAACATCTTGATGGTGTATATCATGGGTCAGTGGAACATCTTGATGGTGTATATCATGGGTCAGTGGAACATCTTGATGGTGTATAGCATGGGTCAGTGGGACATCTTGATGGTGTATAACATGGGTCAGTGGAACATGTTGATGGTGTATATCATGGGTCAGTGAAACATCTTGATGGTGTATATCATGGGTCAGTGGAACATCTTGATGGTGTATAGCATGGGTCAGTGGAACATGTTGATGGTGTATATCATGGGTCAGTGGAACATCTTGATGGTGTATAGCATGGGTCATATATCATGGGTCAGTGAAACATCTTGATGGTGTATATCATGGGTCAGTGGAACATCTTGATGGTGTATAGCATGGGTCAGTGGAACATGTTGATGGTGTATATCATGGGTCAGTGGAACATCTTGATGGTGTATATCATGGGTCAGTGGAACATGTTGATGGTGTATATCATGGGTCAGTGGAACATCTTGATGGTGTATATCATGGGTCAGTGGAACATCTTGATGGTGTATAACATGGGTCAGTGGAACATCTTGATGGTGTATAACATGGGTCAGTGGAACATCTTGATGGTGTATAACATGGGTCAGTGGAACATGTTGATGGTGTATATCATGGGTCAGTGGAACATCTTGATGGTGTATAGCATGGGTCAGTGGAACATCTTGATGATGTATATCATGGGTCAGTGGAACATCTTAAGGTGTATGTTACGTGTCAGTGGAACATCTTGATGATGTATATCATGGGTCAGTGGAACATCTTGATGGTGTATATCATGGGTCAGTGGAACATCTTGATGGTGTATATCATGGGCAGTGGAACATGTTGATGGTGTATAGCATGGGTCAGTGGAACATATAGATGGTGTATATCATGGGTCAGTGGAACATCTTGATGGTGTATATCATGGGCAGTGGAACATCTTGATGGTGTATAACATGGGTCAGTGGAACATCTTAAGGTGTATGTTACGTGTCAGTGGAACATCTTGATGGTGTATAACATGGGTCAGTGGAACATCTTGATGGTGTATATCATGGGTCAGTGGAACATCTTGATGGTGTATAGCATGGGTCAGTGGAACATATTGATGGTGTATATCATGGGTCAGTGGAACATCTTGATGGTGTATAACATGGGTCAGTGGAATATATCATGGGTCAGTGGAACATCTTGATGGTGTATATCATGGGTCAGTGGAACATCTTGATGGTGTATATCATGGGTCAGTGGAACATATTGATGGTGTATATCATGGGTCAGTGGAACATCTTGATGGTGTATAACATGGGTCAGTGGAATATATCATGGGTCAGTGGAACATCTTGATGGTGTATATCATGGGTCAGTGGAACATCTTGATGCTGTATATCATGGGTCAGTGGAACATATTGATGGTGTATATCATGGGTCAGTGGAACATCTTGATGGTGTATAGCATGGGTCAGTGGAACATCTCGAAGGTGTATATCATGGGTCAGTGGAACATGTTGATGGTGTATATCATGGGCAGTGGAACATGTTGATGGTGTATAGCATGGGTCAGTGGAACATATAGATGGTGAAACCGTGAAGATCCGGGTTGGAATTGATCTTCAGTAACCCATGCTTGTCATAAGAGGCGACTAACTGGATTGGGTGGTGAGGCTTGCTGACTTGGTTGACACCTGTCATTGTATCCCAATTGCATAGATCAATGCTTATGCTGTTGATCACTGGATTGTCTCGTCCAGACTCGATTATTTACAGACCGCCATCATATAACTGGAATATTGCTGAGTGCGACATAAAACTAAACTCACTCACTCACTATTTATAGTGTATCGCATCTCTAAATATTATATTGTCAAATGATTGGCTTTAATGTAAAATCTTTCATAGATTAATTATGAATTTTCTTTGGTATTTCATTAGATGTGTGCAAATCTTTCATAGATTAATTATGAATTTTCTTTGGTATTTCATTAGATGTGTGCCAGAACAACAGAGGTCATTTGGTCTGGGAATACAGTGGATCATAGCTCGTTGTCTGGGTAAGACAGGACAGGCATAGCTCTGTCTCATTTAGTCAGGATGCATGCAATGTGTATATTCTAATAAAATGTTTGTACTTTTTTTCAGCAAAGATAAAAGCCTTAAACTCTATATAATGCTTCTTGAACATAGACACAGAGTAGTAATGTACAATGCAATTAATACTCAATTAAAGTGTATTAGTGTACTATATTAGGAAGTTTATTATCACACTGTAGCCTTCATCCTTCTCACTTTATGACAAAACAGTTCAACTCACACTCTGTATGACAAAACAGTTCAACTCACACTCTGTATGACAAAACAGTTCAACTCATACACTGTATGACAAAACAATTCAGCTCACACTCTGTATGACAAAACAGTTCAACTCACTCACTGTATGACAAAACAATTCAACTCACAATATAACAAAACAATTCAACTCGCTCACTGTATGACAAAAGAGTTCAACTCACTCACAATATAACAAAATAATTCAACTCACACTCTGTATGACAGAATGATTCAACTGATTGCTTTGTCTGAATGCAGGTTCCATCCCAGGACCAATCCTATTTGGGAAGATGATTGATCTGACCTGTCTGCTGTGGCAGAAGAAATGTGATGGTGATGGTGCTTGTTTTTTCTATGACAACAGAAAAATGAGTTACTATCTTCTGGCACTTGGGTTGTCCCTGAAAGGATTGTCATCTCTGTTCTTCTTTCTGGCTCTTGTGATGTATAAGAAACCCCCTGGAAGTATTGAAGAAGTCGGACTGAATGACAACACGTCCATGTCAGCTGTATCTTCAACCAGCCGAACAACGCTCAATGCTCAGCCAAATGGCACTGAAACCAATGTTGTGATTAAAGTTCCTGACAGCGTTACCAATGGAACTGCTAAGTCCAATGGAAGTGTTGTTAAAACAAGTCTATAGTTGGTATCCTAAAGCTCTACTTAAGACAGTAGGTAGTACAGATAGGGATATGTTGTGTTTGTAAATATTAGTGGATTAATTGTACAGTGAAAAATGACATTAAGAGCATATTCAGGGTCTTCCACTTGTTGCCAGTGTTGTACAAGAGAACTATCTTTCATTAAGGTCATCACTGTGTCTCATATTAATGCCAGCAATTAAACATTGATCATGCACAGACTAACAATACACTAACAGAGGAATCCTTGAAGGTGCAACAGAGGAATCCTTGGAGGTGAATCAGAGAAATCCTTATGGATCCAGATGGTTCCACTGACAGTGCAACAGAGGAATCCTTGGAGGTGCAACAAAGGAATCCTTGGAAGTGCAACAGAGGAATCCTTAGAGGTGCAACAGAAGCATCCTTGGAGATCCAGATGGTTGCACTGACAGTGTCAACAGAGGAATCCTTGAAGGAAAAGATGCTTCTATGTAATGTTGTCACTTGTAACAACTATATGTCAAATAATATTTTAATATTGTGAGCTGAAATGGAAATTTTGCAGGAGACACTTTTAAAACAGTTTTGTAAAGAGATTATTGTGACAATAATCCAATCATTATTTAGTATTCTTGTGCTGGTATGAATTCAAGAGATTTATCTCGGCATTCTCAGAGGCTGAAGTGTTCTGCAAATGTGGGTAAAAATTCCCATTTTTTTTCCAAAACTGGCACTCAGTTTAAGAGACTGGCTACATCCCATCTTTTCACACAACAGTTTTTAGTGATAATGATTTCTGGCTGTTGTTGATCATTGCATGATCCAGAACATGAGGATATTTCTAATTCATACTGGCGGTGGAGGTTGCCAGTATCTAAGCGTGGTAAGGATATCTTGGTTAATCTTATGGACTATTTGATGTGCTCAATGGTTGCTTTGTAAAGGAAAATATGTTAACGTTATATTTTAGTTGTAATTTTAGCAAAATCTAAAGTATTTTAGAACACTTTGACATATGTTTAAAGAAAAACAATACTGTAGATTTAATAGCAATGCAGTATAACGGTGATATGTTTGTGTAGAGAGCTTTACGATGTGTGTCATACTGGTTTGTTACAGTAACTGTGATATTATCAATGCAATATGTTATGATGTCTGTTGATGACATCATTTATCAGTGCCATATTTTAGTGCTTTGATTGGATATTTTTTACGATGACACTGTTGTTGTTTCCATGGTTACTGTCTGACAGGAACATCTTTTCGGATACTTTTCATTTGCAGTTATGTGATCAAACATAAAAGAAGTTACAGAACATTGGACTAGATGTTTGATTGGCATTTTAGAAGATCTATTTGATGAACATAGAGACTTTTGTGGGTTTCATTGTTTGGTACAATAAATAAAAAAAAGATGAAACCCAGAATAGTCTCTATGTTCATCAGAACATTGGTCTCTTTCATATGATTTTTGTTAATCTGTCATGGTACGGCAGATTGACCTACAGTAATATGAATTGGTGGCCTTCAACTTCTTTTGAATACTACCATCAAACCAGGACCAGATTGTTCATTTGTAGGGGACTCAACAGTTAACTGTTTCTGCTGGTAGCTCATAATCTAAGGCAGAACAATAGAATATAAAGCTATACAACAATTACTTTTCAAAATTATTTTTAGTGTTTTCTCAGTCTTTTTCCATGTTGAATTCAAATCAATAAAAACAACCATTTTTGATTTTTTTATAGTAATTTTCTGCATTGGTCATAGACGATTGAAGGTGACAGCTGATCACGTATTTGAAATCCTTTAGCAGGGTTTTATAGTAAGTTACATGAGTCATCTACAAATTGGGAATTCCATCACAAGTTTAGGTCATGTTGAGGCCTTCATGCCTTTATATTCATCACTAACTTCCTTCAAGAAATAAAATTGGTCTGTCCAAATCGTCACATTTATGTAGATTTTGAAGTTAAGCAATAGTTTCTTTCCTTCTAAATTGACTACAGAGAGATAGCATTAAAGAGACCAATCAGTAATGAGGAGACAACCAGGAATTATTCACAGAAGACAATCATTAAATTATGGGCTAATGAACTGAGGCTATGTTGAAGTACATCTAGATGATATCAGTTGGCATCATATGATTCATTTTGACATACTGATGTTCGTCAGGTCAATCTGATTCAACATTCTTTGTTTTTAAGGCAGCATTTACTGTGTTAAACAGACATTTTTGTGCTTATCCATGTCACTGGTTTTCAGATGATCATATTAATGAGTGGATTTGGTGAGTCTGTGTCTTTACTGTGCATGATTGTTGATAGTTTCACACAATGTGCAAAACAATTCTTCTTTATATCCACATATTCTGGTTGTGCACAAGACTTTCACTGTCTCCAAACATCATGATGCATAATATGTGCTAGCAGATTGATACCTGGTTACTCTGTTGAAGATTCACAGAGACCCATTTGTAAAATGTGGCACCAAGGTTGCTAGGGGATCCCAGTATTTCTATAAACTCAATTTCAAACATGCTGGGGATCTCAATATTTGTGAAGTTTGGTGCCAATGTTTTTTAACAGGTATGACATTTGGACTAGTTACATGCAGTGATAGTCTCTTATTCTTGGCACTGTTAGTGCAGATTTAGGTTGGGAATTTTATATACTATTTAAAAGAAGTTACGACCACCTAATTCTCTCATATTACTGAAATTAAATATGTTATGGCATGACAGATTACCTATAGTAATATGAAAGAATCGAGTGGACCTTAACTTCTTTTGAGCAATATGATATTAATATACGTTACTACTAGGCTTTGACATTTAATACAGATAACGTTAGATGGGATCCTTCTGTCAGGATGGAGTTTTCTGTTGAAGCCTTTAAATATTATTCTTGGATCAAAGTCTTTGGAAAGTTATTGTTGACATCTAATATGAATAGAAGACAAATATAAATTGCTTATTACACAAGATATTCATGTGATTGTACATAGTCACCTCATTATTGCTGTTTAACACACTGCAAAACCTCATGAGTGTATATAGGGCATCACATTGCTGACAACTGAAAAGGCACAATATTGAATTCAATACTCGATTATACTGTGTTCATTACAAATCAGATCATTTAATTTGTTCATCATTTGGTTCATTCTTGTTCAATATATTATGTGTCTAATAGATCAGTTTGTTAAGCATTTAATTCAGTTTATTAATGTTTTGTTGAACTATTGTTTGTTGGTCAACACAACCTGGAGCAATATGGTGGCACTTAGTTTACAGGTGTGAGGTACAAATAAACATTCAGTCCATTACTTCATAGATCAGATAAAGTCTGTATTGGGAAGGTCTTCAGTTTCAGTCCACTTGCTCTTGCTTTAAGAAAGAGACACAAAACATTTGTTGTACTGACAGTTAGGGAATAGTGAGATGGCAGCGACTATGATGTTGGTTGAAAGGTAGTAGTTGATACAAATCGCTGAGTTTTTCAGTTGCAATTGTTCAGGGACGGAGGGGTTTTGAAATAACAAAATCCAGCACTAGCACATAATATGGCCAGAAGCACAACATACAGGTCTGTTGTTCTTGGATTTTCATGAACAAAATCACAGTTTTATTTATTTAATCTTTTTTAAGTTTGTAAATAGAAATTGTGATAATATGATGTAGAAGAAACACAAAGCAGTTGATGCTTGTGCTCAAGGAATGACGGGGTGCCAGCTGGAAGTGCTGGTGGGTGGGGTGGGGTGTGTGTGGGGTGGTCACAGGCAGTGGAGATGACAAGCTCATTACAGGACTAGGACTGATCATTTTATACTTTTCCAATTCAAATTTAAATGGAGTCTCATATACTAGAAAACTGTTATTTCTTGTTAATTTTAAAGTGTTAATGTTTGCTTTCTTAGCAATATGAAGGTTATCAAGTAATTGTTTTAAACTTAACGGTGAAAAGTAGGTAATGTTGAAATATATAGAATAATGAAAACAATTATTATTGTGATAAATGTCTAAGAATTAAACCAAAGGGAGAATGTGGTCCATTGTTTAGACAAGCATTGGTCCAGTGTGTGACCAATGTGTTAATGTTTGCTTTCTTAGCAATATGAAGGTTATCAAGTAATTGTTTTAAACTTAACGGTGAAAAGTAGGTAATGTTGAAATATATAGAATAATGAAAACAATTATTATTGTGATAAATGTCTAAGAATTAAGCCAAAGGGAGAATGTGGTCCGTTGTTTAGACAAGCATTGGTCCAGTGTGTGAAGTGCTTCTAGAATGCATGCCATGTGCTGGCCATGTGCTGGTCCAGTGTGTGCCATGTGCTGGCCAAGTGTGTGCCATGTGCTGGTCCAGTGTGTGCCATGTGCTGGCCAAGTGTGTGCCATGTGCTGGTCCAGTGTGTGCCATGTGCTGGTCCAGTGTGTGACATGTGCTGGTCCAGTGTGTTAAGTGTTGGCACTTCTATCATGATATGCTTGCTGTCAAGATAATCTGTGTGGTAGAGTTGATGAGTGAGTGAGTTGGGATAAGTGATTTTCTGAGGTTGTACAAATTATTTTTGTTGAATAAAATGTTTTGTATTTAATACGAAGTAGTTTTATTTGCTGCCTTCATTACCTTCATCAATGGAAAAAGAAAACTGACACCCAATAACAATTATATCAACAACCTAACAGTGAGCAGACCAGTGATAGTGATGGAAAACCCTACAACAAACAGACTTCACCAATGTCAGGGACAACCCTACAACAAACAGACCTCACCAATGTCAGAGACAACCCTACAACAAACAGACCTCACCAATGTCAGGGACAACCCTACAACAAACAGACCTCACCAATGTCAGGGACAACCCTACAACAAACAGACCTCACCAATGTCAGGGACAACCCTACAACAAACAGACCTCACCAATGTCAGGGACAACCCTACAACAAACAGACCTCACCAATGTCAGGGACAACCCTACAACAAACAGACCTCACCAATGTCAGGGACAACCCTACAACAAACAGACCTCACCAATGTCAGGGACAACCCTACAACAAACAGACCTCACCAATGTCAGGGACAGCCCTACAACAAACAAACCTCACCAATGTCAGGGACAACCCTACAACAAACAGACCTCACCAATGTCAGGGACATCCCTACAACAAACAGACCTCACCAATGTCAGGGAAAACCCTACAACAAACAGACCTCACCAATGTCAGGGACAACACTACAACAAACAGGCCTCACCAATGTCAGGGACAACCCTACAACAAACAGACCTCATCAACGTCAGGGACAACCCTGTAACAAGCGACCGCCTCCGTGGTTTAGTGGTTAAAGCGTCCGCCCAGATAGCGGAAGGTCGTGGGTTCGATCCCCGACTGCGTCTTACCAAAAGACGTTAAAATGTGGAACTTGTTGGTTCCTGCCTGGCGCTCGGCATTAATGGGTACAACAAGGACTGGTCGGTTCGGAGTCAGTATAATGTGTCTGTGTGGGGTATCCATGCTTCACTGCGGCATGGTATCTCAGTGGGCTAGCACTGGGCTAGTACAAGCAGCCGCACATACACACACACACGCATGCACGTGGTCATATGAGCGAAATATTCTCAAGCACGACGTTAAATCCAATTTCACCTCACCTCACTTTCACATCCGAAAAAATGAAATCAGAGTCTTAAGTTGATATTTCGAAAGGACACAAGGCGGTTTTGGATACGATGTGTAATCACCGGGTTCTCAGTAATACATCATAATAAACGAGTCCCGATTTTAAAAATACATCGTAGTAAACGGTTCCCCGTCATAGTAATACATCGTAATATACTTAAGGTAACGAATATAGGGACTCATGAAAGTACAAGTGTTCCTTCATTTATTCCCAGAATTTCACCCACAGTGCCATACATACCTTGTGAAGAAACGAGAAAAAGAATAAAGGAACACTTGTAACTTCATGTGTTCCCTTATTCGTTTCCATGAGAATATAGGGGTCCTCATCTTAGTAAAACAACGTAGTAAACGGGTCCTTATCTTAGCCTGTTCTCCTGTCAGCATGGGGAACCGGGGCCTCGTTTGCCCCGGAATGCTCCATGTACCTGCATGACTCACCAGTAATTACCATCGCTCAGATCAAATATTTTATTCAAAACCATTCAGTTCAAAGAAATATATATATAACTGTACATGAATATAACTCTGTAAAATATTTATAAGAAAACAACACGAGCAGACTTAATGCCATTTGAATTCATGTAAAAAAACCAATACAATTAAGGACGTCACAGACGTCGCCATTTGTCAGCAGCGTTCACGATATCAGTAATCACATGTGCACTAGCCTTCATATTTCTTTGACTACTTGGAAACTGGCAAAACGAATTTCTGATTCCTTTGCGGCCATAGTCTATGTGTAACACTTCTGTTAAATGTACGAACGTGTTCATATTTCTTCGATATGTGTCTGTGTTGAATATTTAATTTGTCTTTTGGTAATAGTTTCCTGGAAATTCTTGGGTGTTGTGGGATATAATGAGAGGTGATATTGCCTACCCACGTGAGTGTGGTTTTACGTCGCTTTTAGCAATATCCCCGCAATATCTTCTAGTGATGCTTTACACATTTTACCCATGTGGGGAATCGAGCCCGTGTCGTCGGCGAGACGAGACAACGCTTTAACCACTAGGCTACCCCACCGTCTCATCAAAATAGATGCACTTTCCCATTAAGCAAAACATGGAGTATCGACATGGGGATACTGAAACAATGGATTTCTTCATCTCCAGCAGTGTAGTATCATTTAGCGTTATTTCCTCTCAATATCGCTTTTATCTGAATTTCAAATATTCCACAGCCTGTTAAGGATGGAGTGACCGCGGAGGTTAATCGTATAGTATAAAACCCACAGGTGGTGTAGGTTGCTCTCAGACACATATACACAGTAAATTTAGGATCCGAACTATGATCAGCGAACTAAGCTGCCATATACATCTATTCAGCATTAGCGAGTATAGGCGGTATCACCGAGTGCACGCTCCTACTATTATGCATGATCGGACCGTCACCACGGAGCCCCTGCAGTCGTATGATCTCAGTATGTTAGAAGGCACATTCCAGGCACATTCCATGTTGTTACATGACATGACAGTACTGAACATCATATCCAATATGCATGAAGTTCGTGTTCAAGCTTTACACATTAAATATTGTTAACGCAGGCGAGACACCTGAAGTTCACACATTGGTCACTTTGGTCTTACCGTATACAACAGATAACCTTTATGCCACCAAACAGTTCAAGGCATCAAGTTAAAGTATGGCACAGTGTAATTCAAAGCATGTCGCAGTAAAGGCAGCATTCTATTCAGGGAGTCATGTTGCAGTTATGGCACCATACCATCCATGACACCATATTGCAGTGAAGGCACCATTCTATCCATAACATTGCAGTAAAGGGACCATACTATCCATGACTCCATATTGCAGTAATGACACCATTCTATTCAAGACACCATATTGCAGTAATGGCACCATACTATTCAAGACACCATATTGCAGTGAAGGCACAATCAACCACTTGCCTCATGGTTGTTCTGATGATGTATATCAGCATTGCAGTGTTGTTAACTGTATTAGGCCTTGGTAACTTTTATCCGTCTATTCAAAACCTACATGGTCTGTTTGGCCAAAGCAATACTATTGTGGTTTTGTGTGTGTGAGTTTAACACAAGAAGAAATTAGTGAGTAGAGGTAATGCTTGGTTCACCATATCAGACTTAATGCAATCTTCCGGTACAGAGCCCAGTTCCTGGGCAACGAGCAAACCACGATCTTCCGTTTCTTTCTGTGTCTAAATCAGCAGCTTCCAGGACCTGAGACAGCTTAATGACAGTCTGTTTCTGCTCTATAAGGAATAACATATTGCTATAACTTAGTTTTCAGCGTGGTACCACTTGTAATAATCTGAGGTTCTGTTCCAACTGAAATCTTTTCAGTACTATTATAAAACACTGGATTGTCTATTCCATTGGCACTTGCGTCTGTTGCTGCAATGTCAAGTTTCGAGTCCGCCTCAACAATATTCTCCTCGGACTTGTTTGGTGATTTCTTGTATAGCAAAAGTGCAAAGAAAAAGAAGAGCGACGACACGCCCTTGATGCTGATGCCCAGCGCCATGAGGTAGTAGCTCATCAGCTTGTTGTCGTAGAAGAAGCAGGAGCCGTCCCCGTCGCAGCGCTTCTGCCACAGCAGACAGGAGAGGTCAATCATCTTCCCGAACAGGATAGGGCCAGGGATAGCACCTTCAGAGAGGAAAGGTTTAATGGACGTTAGATTACGTGACTATGGCACCAGTAGAACATGTAATCTTGATAATTATTATATGGCCCTCTTGCATATTTCTGAAATAGATTACTTTTGTTTCCAAATTAAATTTCGCCTTAATCGTTCATCCCTTTTAAACCTATGTTTATCTCTACAATGAAACCAATCTAAATATTTAATTACGACCTCTGGAAAGCAACACAAAGATCGGTGTGTATATTGCTTTATAAAATAGAATTCTTTTGCATGTCTTTTAAGGGTCCATTTTCAGCCTTATGAAAAATCACACATCTAAATAACCAAAATATGAGGAGTAGCTACATGTTGAGTATGGCGTACTGAAAGCAACGAGGACTGTAGTTACAGCTGTCTGTTACCAAACATGACATGAGATGCCATCCCATGCTTACCTAGGCACCTGACGACCAGCCACTGGATTCCCAGGCCGAAGGATCGGTGTTTCTCTGACACTACCCTACAATAAAGGAAGCACCTGGTTATCTCTAAGCATGTCGATACCCGTGAAGGTACGGGTTAGAACATTGATCTTCAGTGAGGTGAGGTGAAATTGGGTTTAACGTCGTGCTTGAGAATATTTCGCTCATATGACGACGTGCATGCGTGTGTATGTGTATGTGCGGCTGCTTGTACTAGCCCAGACTTAAGCTGGTTTTATAGTGCTAGCCCACTGAGATACCATGCCGCAGTGAAGCATGAATACCCCACTCAGACACGTTATACTGACTCCGAGCCGACCAGTCCTTTGTTGTACCCATTAATGCCGAGCGCCAGGCAGGGATCTGATCTTCAGTAACCCATGCTTGCCGTAAGAGGCGACTGACGGGATCGGGTGATCAGGCTTGCTGACTTGGTTGACACATGTCATCGGTTCCCAATTGCGCAGATCGATGCTCATGATGTTGATCACTGGAATCGATTATTTATAGACCGCCGCCATATAGCTGGAATATTTCTGAGTGGGGCGTAAAACTAAACTCACTCACTCACTCTTGTCATGTCGATGTGAAGGGCCTAATCTCTACGGATATACTGCCAGAACACAGTGAGTGAGTGAGGAGTATGGTTTTACGCCGCTTGTAGCAATATTCCAGCAACCTATTACACTTTCTTGGTAAAGTACAGATTCTAGTACTTTTATTGGGTCGAGTCCCATCCGGGATTCGAACCCACACCCTCAGAGTCAAGCACCTAATCGCCAGCAAAGTCAGACGCCTAACCGGCTCAGCCGCGTTACTAGAATCAGTACTTCACCAAGAAATTGTAATCCCCAAATCAGCATATGTAACTTGATGATATTCCAGCAATATCATCTCTATTAGCAATGATCAAGCAATAACGCTGGGGCAGGAGGGAAGAGAATGGATCCCCATCCATGTGAGGAATTCATTGCACTTAATGTGCGACTTCATCATATTGTTTATATGTATACAACACTGACTGTTACCACTATACTATTAACGCCAGGTTTACCTGAGTGTGGCAGTAAGGGATGGCATGCTGACGATAAACGTAAAGAACATCATCAGGGTAAACAGGGGGAGAAAGACAGGCAACCAGATGCAGGAGCTGTCGCAGCTGGTGAACTCGGCCATGTAGTCGGTAGCGTTGCTGTTGATGCAGGAGCAGTTGTGGTAGCGCTGAAACAGGTGTTACATAAAAAAATAGCCAAACTCACTTTTATTAGTCCGGAATTGTCAGCCCACCCTCAGCCCACCAAAAATGGTAAACGTGAATCTATTCCATTTTCATAGATCGATTTCCATGTCAATCTCTGGATTGTCTGGTCCAGGATTGGTAATACACAGATTGCCGTCATATAGCTGGCACATTGCTGAAAGCGGCGTTAAACAACAAACAACTATCAGTCATCCCTCGACAACTGTATTTGCATTTTAAAGAGTGGTTGAAGTTGCCCGCTTATCGTATGTACTAGAGGCCCGCCGAACGTATGTACGGAATGAAGATTGCCTGATTGCAGTGTTGTTATGCTTGGTGGATTACTCACGGTGACATCTCCGGTCTGAAGCACCTTGCATCCAGCATAGCAGGGGGAGAAGTACATGAGTCCGTCCCGGCCACACACCGGGTGGTAGTCGTCCTCCGTACACGCACAGTTACTGTTACATGTGTTGTCCAGCTGCTTGCCCAGGTACTCTATTCTCCTGTAACACACACAGGCGTTCTATTTAGTACTGGCTGTCGCACCTCCGTAGCTAACAGTAACATTTGGTAAAACACTAGTTGTAAAACCCCTTTCTTTCATAATAATACAGAACCCGTAAAAATCGTCCATCTTGATTTTCAATCAAACCTTGCTTGTCGTAAGAGGATCTGGTGGTCATCGTATCCCAACTGCCCAACTGCTCATAATGTTGATGACTGGATTGTCTAGTCCGAAGACAGACCGCCGCCATATAGCTGGAATATTTCTGATATTCGCCCACTCCAAGCAATATTCAAACTTTATAGCGGCGGTCTGTAAAGAATCGAGTCTGGACTAGACTACGCATTTGGGATACGATACGATGACATGTGCTGACGAAGTCAACGAGCCTGACCGATGAGCCTCTTACGACAAGCACAGATTGCTGAAGACCATGTCACTGCTCACGCAGAGTCGCAGTACTTACAGGCTACTGGAGCTGTTCTGGTAGCGCACGTTGACGCCTGCGAAGGGTACGTTGTCACAGTAAGTGAGGAAGCCAAGTCCCAAGACACAGACAGACAGCGTGGAGACTAGACACATTTTGAGGATGCCCCGAACCTTCAGGTTGAAACGTTTCACAAGGTAGCCGCCAAGGAGAGTTCCGCCGCCTCCAGCAGGTATAACGGCCAAACCTGCAAACGAATGAGTTGAAAATAACTCGACAATAGCTATTGAGTTTAACACATTAAGGGACAGGCGGGCATGGGATGAAACATGTTGATGGAATTTAGAGCCACGGAACTAACGATCACAAACAGGACGAATTCCAACCAACGTTAAGTTAAAACTGAATGTCAAAAGGGAAGCAACTCTATATGGTGGCGGTCTGTAAATAAACGAGTCTGGACCAGCATGAACACTACTCACAACAAGTTACAGAACACGACAATTTACCCCGGAAGGATATGTGTTGTAATATCCACAAGCAATGTCAAATAAAATACAATCGAACAATCTAATTACTGAGGTTACTCACCTACTTACTGAGCAGCTCTAGCTGCAGGCAAGCTAAAGGAGGACCAAAGGAACTTGGGTTACTCACCTACATACTGAGCAGCTCTAGCTGAAGGCAAGCTAAAGGAGGACCAAAGGAACTTGAGCAGCTCTGGCTGCAGGCAAGCTAAAGGAGGACCAAAGGAACTTGGGTTACTCACCTATATACTGAGCAGCTCTAGCTGCAGGCAAGCTAAAGGAGGACCAAAGGAACTTGGGTTACTCACCTATATACTGAGCAGCTCTAGCTGCAGGCAAGCTAAAGGAGGACCAGAGGAACTTGGGTTCCTCACCTACATACTGAGCAGCTCTGGCTGCAGGCAAGCTAAAGGAGGACCAAAGGAACTTGGGTTACTCACCTACATACTTAGCAGCTCTAGCTGCAGGCAACCTAAAGGAGGACCAAAGGAACTTGGGTTACTCACCTACATAAAGAGCAGCTCTAGCTGCAGGCAAGCTAAAGGAGGACCAAAGGAACTTGGGTTACTCACCTACATACTGAGCAGCTCTGGCTGCAGGCAAGCTAAAGGAGGACCAAAGGAACTTGGGGTTACTCACCTATATACTGAGCAGCTCTAGCTGCAGGCAAGCTAAAGGAGGACCCTTGGGTTACTCACCTACATACTGAGCAGCTCTAGCTGCAGGCAAGCTAAAGGAGGACCAAAGGAACTTGGGTTACTCACCTACATACTGAGCAGCTCTAGCTGCAGGCAAGCTAGAGGAGGACCAAAGGAACTTGGGTTACTCACCTACATAATGAGCAGCTCTGGCTGCAGGCAAGCTAAAGGAGGACCAAAGGAACTTGGGTTACTCACCTACATACTGAGCAGCTCTAGCTGCAGGCAAGCTAAAGGAGGACCAAAGGAACTTGGGTTACTCACCTGCATACTGAGCCGCTCTGGCTGCAGGCAAGCTAAAGGAGGACCAAAGGAACTTAGGTTACTCACCTACATACTGAGCAGCTCTGGCTGCAGGCAGGCTAAACTCGGACTCCAAGAACTTGGGTGCGAACGTCGAGAAACCTCCCACGATGATAGCTGCAATAAAGTATGTAATGTTTCGGATACAATTGATATTTTATACTTATCCTGACTCATGCTATATTGCTTATCTCCCTTCTCCTTTCGACGGTTAGTGGAAACTTGAATCCCTTTCAGTTCCCTGAAGCGAACGTACAATCACTCACTCTGGAGTTGCCTCCTTATTATCTCCCGCCAAAACGCACCCACGTGGCCAAACGCATGCTGTCCTCACTCTCTCCGAATACCGAAATACCGATACCGAAACTGGTATCGCGACTCAATATGTTAAGGTAAGGACAACTACCGAAACTGAGCCTATATCACTCATGCGCTGACTTATCTTGTAAGAACATGGACTCTCTGCTGGTGGCAATGGATCCGTTACCTGACCGTCAAAGAGTCTGCGTGACAATATTAGAATTGATAGTCAGCCCTTTCTGTATCTTGAGTGGTACAAAAAAAAGGTGGTGTTCTGCAGACTGTTCACATATGAAGAATTTTCAATACGTTTTCAATAAAAACAAATTTTTAACGTAAGAATAGGTAAAAAGAGCCATTATAACATATGCTCAAACACGCAATTTAAAAAGGAATTATGCCAACCAATTTATCCTTTTAATGTCTCAAAAACTGACACCATAATTGGGAGTAAAAGACTATATGCCTCCCTCTTGAATTCCAAATTTGTTCGGTTGCCAAGCTTTTCAAAATGGGAGAGTTCTACAGAGTGATTTTACTGAAAATGACTGGAAACCTTTTAACATTATTGTAAATAAATGTTCGCGAAGCAGACTTGAAATGGTTGCAATATAAAATTATTCACAATATTCTCCCAACAAGACAATTACTTTATAACATTGGATACACATCCTCACCAATATGACCATTTTGTGAAACAGAAAGAGAGACTGTCAACCATATGTTATGGGAATGTGAATCTGTTATTAAATTATGGAAAGAAATAGAATCATGGTTGAACTCAGAAACAGTTACACCTGGAATTTACAAATACGATAGTTATTTTGGGAATGAAAGGAAAGAACAATAATCCTATTAATGAAATCATTTCAGTAGTCAAACACTATATCTATAGATGCAGCATAAATTGTTTCAGACCAAAGTTAGAATATTTGCAATATGAAATTGTCCGTCACAATGATATGTCAAGATATGTTTTCCCATCAACTGGAACTGAGCAAATGAGTTTTGCAATATTGGTCTACTCTACATTTATTCCTGCCCATTGTACATTCGCAGCCACATGGTACATTTTTATACATGTAGACATATACCATTGTATTATTGTGAAACTTATCTATAAATGTTGGCCTGTACCATAAAATATGGAAAATAATAAAAAAAATAGTCAAGGGTGACAAGGGTTAGCATTCTCATCGTCTAGCTGGAATAATGAGTTGTTGCGCTGCTACAAGGGGCCCGAACTGATGGAAACCGGATACATCTTCAGTAGCGATATCCCGTAGATAGTGGTTGGCGTGTACAGTGTCCGACTTCTAAAAGCAGCCTTCCATAATGGATGATTTCAGTTTCCATGTAGGGCGAGAGTCGAGGCCAGTGCTCTTGCTTCATGAGGGTTCGATGCTCTACGCGGTTCTAACCCAGCTGCTTTGTAAGCTCGTAGAATAACGGCTCTGATCCAACATGAGATCGTAGTTCGGGAGACTTCTACAGTCATGGCGGGTGATAGCGGGATGAAGAGACGCTTGAACTTCCTCCTCCTTGTAGCAGTCCTGTCCAAGTAGACTTTCAAGGCTCTGACTGGGCATACAGACAGATCTTGTGTATCATCTGGTCCGAATATGGTTGATAGTGCCGGAACATCTGATCCTTAGAGTCTTGTGTACCTTCACGGGACATCTGCCGAATACCTCCATCAAAAGGGTAGGTGCTGCCCAAGGTTTCCTAGGAGACCTTGACGACGTAATAATGTGATGCCCGCCGATGTTGAAGCTAGGTGATTGGAGATGAATTCCTGATCCTTACGTTGAGTGACGAGCGCTGATAGTACCATTCTCTCTTATCTGCGATGAAGGGTTTGCGCACCCTGAAGCCCTGGACGTAGAGGAATGTAGAGACGAACGATCGTTGCCCCCTGGCAGTAATACTGGTGGCTCAGAGTAAGTTGAATCGTCTGCATCATCGTTAGGCTCCGCAAATGACCGTTGATGAGTAGCCGGGGTCGAAGATCTCGATGGTCTAATTGACTGAGAAGACCGTACGGATGACGACTTCGATGTAGAGGACTTCTTAGCAGAGGTAGACGGCCTCTTCTTCCTCAACGACTCCGATCCCTCCCTAAGAGGGGATAACAGAAGAACCCCCTGGGAAGTGACTCTGATGATATGGCAGAAGGCAACAACTCACGCCCAGATGACAGTAATTCGCCCTTCTCAGCCGCACCATATCTAAAGTTTTGCGTAAACGAGAACACAAAAATTGATTAAATTCAATTTCAGAAAAGTGTGCACAATATATACATCCTGGTGATAAAGAACATGAGTTCAAGACACAAGCTGAGCAAACAGGGTGCGGGTCAAACGCTGAGACGCGATACTTGCATCATTTACATGTCTTCATGTAACAACAGTCGCCTGGAACGGAGTGAAAATGGTCAAAATTAGACATAATTTATACAACCTGTTTCATAACTATGACGAAGTATATCCTGAATATTCCATTCACGGCATAATTTGAGTTAAGGACCCAAAGGAAAAAGGATATAAGCCGCAAAGGGACCATGAAGAAACCGTCCGCTTGGGCGATGAAGGAGAGAGTGAGGACAGCCTTTGGTCACATGGGTGCGTTTTGGCGGGAGATAAGGGAGGCAACTCCAGGGTGAGCGACTGTACATTCGCTTCAGGGAACTGAAAGGGATTCATGTTTCCACTTGACCGTCGAAAGGAGAAGGGAGACGAGCAATATAGCATGAGTCAGGATAAGGAAAAATGATTGGTTTTCATTTACACGTATGAAAAACGGGAACAGTGATCAATAAATCCTTTGCATTAATGGCTTGTTTGTTTGTTTTTGGAATTGTTGCACTCAACAATATTCCATCTACGGGAATCGGCTTAGAAGTAATCTGGACCAGACAATCTAGTGATGGATAAAGTGAACAACAATCCTGTGTGCCGTTGTACAAAGCGATCCTAGCGTCAAGGTGATCTAAGTCACTCACGACCAGCGTCGTGACCAGCTGACATGTTCGGTTACCTCTTATAAGGTTGGGTTGATGGGGTGTTATTCTTACCCTGATTCCCAACGGAACAATACCAAGCCCATTTTAACATGGAAACCCTACTCAGCCACTGTATACTGACTCAGGGTCCACGTGACCTTAAGGCCGAGTCCCAGGCTGGGTAATAACAAGTACCATCGTCTATGACGCAGCCGGGACCGATCCATCAACCTTAGGCTCTGTACACTAAACGGAGGCTATTATTGTAATAAAGGATTTCCAGGCTGAAGACACCCAACTAAAGTGAGTGAGTGAGTTTAGTTTTACGCCACGCTCAGCAATTTTCCAGCTATATGGCGGCGGTCTGTAAATAATTGAGTCTTGAACAGACAATCCAGAGAACAGCATGAGTGAGTGAGTGAGTTGAGTTTTACGCCGCACTCAGCAATATTCCAGCTATATGGCGGCGGTCTGTAAATAATCGAGTCTGGACCAGTCAATCCAGTGATCAACAGCATGAACATCGATTTGCGCAATTGGGAACCGGTGACATGTGTCAACCAAGTCAGCGAGCCTGACCACCCGATCCCGTTAGTCGCCTCTTACGACAAGCATAGTCGCCTTTTGTGGCAAGCATTGGTTGCTGAAGACCTATTCTACCCCGGATCTTCACGGGTGGGAACAGCATGAGCATCGCTCTGCGCTACTGGGAACCGAATACATGTGGCAACCAAGTCAGCGAGCCTGACCACCCGATCCCGTTCGTCGCTTCTTACGACAAGCATGGGTTACTGAAGATCAATTCTAACCCGGACCTTCACGGGTGAACCCAACAAGAGTATTTAGGCCAAAATATAATTTCAACAATAACCTCAGCAACGAACCTTCGGAAGCTCCAGCCAGATTGAGAAACATGAAAGTTGGATTTGTAAGCAGCAGTTTCGTTGAGTGGAGTATATCTTTAACTAATGGCTTTTCAGACTGAGCTTCAGCATGTTTCTGGTTGGCATCAGCGACGGCAGCTTCAGCCTTCTTCTTCCCGCTGTACACCTCGGACTCCTTCTCCTGCCGGTACTTGCTGGTACCTGGACATCAAAGCGTCAGGGTCAATGTTGCTGTACGCCACAAGAATACAGATACATCACGAAACTAATTCTGTCGGTAAAAAGTATTTGATACGTAATTCACACTGATTGATATACTTACTACCAACCACGTCATGCAACATGACTACTGCCCAGTAAACCTCAGTAAACAAAAACATTAACACCCGCCCTCCCCTTCGTTACCTGATCTTCACAGGGGCGGTGGGGCAGCCTAGTGGTTAAAACGTTCGCTCGTCACGGGTTCGATTCCCCACATGGGTACAATGTGTGAAGCCCATTTCTGGTGTTCCCCGCCGTGATATTGCTGGAATATTGCTAAATGCGGCGTAAAACTAAACTCACTGATTCACTCACTGATCTTCACAAACAGGTGTGTTGGACGTACCTGGGAGGGCCCTGGGGAAGCCAGACAGGGGCACGCTGATCAGGAACGCTATCACGCCGCTGATGACAAACCCCAGCCACCATGCGCCCACCCATTTCGGGTTGTCGGGTGTGATAGAGAGGCTGTGGATAGAAACACTGTATCAAAATAGTTTTATTCTCATTAAGACATGTGGAACATCTAACATTCGTCAGAAATTCTGCAAATGATTTAATCATAATGAACTGTACCTACAACCACATGCATGCACCCCACCACCCCGAGGACGTCCTACAACCACATGCACGCACCCCATCACCCCGAGGACGTCTTACAACCACATACCACACCCACCCCCCGAGGACGTCCTACAACCACATGCATGCACCCCACCACCCCGAGGACGTCCTACAACCACATGCATGCACCCCACCACCCCGAGGACGTCCTACAACCACATGCATGCACCCCACCACCCCGAGGACGTCCTACAACCACATGCATGCACCCCACCACCCCGAGGACGTCTTACAACCACATGCGTCCTACCACCCCGAGGACGTCTTACAACCACATGCATGCAGCCTACCACCCCGAGGACGTCTTACAACCACATGCATGCACCCCTACCACCCCGAGGACGTCTTACAACCACATGCATGCACCCCACCACCCCCGAGGACGTCTTACAACCACATGCATGCAGCCCACCACCCCGAGGGACGTCCTACAACCACATGCATGCACCCCACCACCCCGAGGACGTCCTACAACCACATGCATGCACCCCACCACCCCGAGGACGTCCTACAACCACATGCATGCACCCCACCACCCCGAGGACGTCCTACAACCACATGCATGCACCCCACCACCCCGAGGACGTCCTACAACCACATGCATGCACCCCACCACCCCTGAGGACGTCCTCAACAACCACATGCATACAGCCCACCACCCCGAGGACGTCCAACAACCACATGCATGCACCCTACCACCCCGAGGACGTCCTACAACCACATGCATGCACCCCACCACCACCCGAGGACGTCCTACAACCACATGCATGCACCCCACCACCCCAAGGACGTCCTACATCGTGCATGCACCCCACCACCCCCAGGACGTCCTACTACCGCATACATGCACCCCACCACCCCGAGGACGTCCTACAACCGCATACATGCACCCCACCACCCCGAGGACGGCATACATGCACGTCCTACCACCCGAGGACGTCCTACAACCACATGCATGCACCCCACCACCCCGAGGACGTCCTACAACCCATGCACAACCACATGCATGCATGCACCACACCCCAGGACGTCCCACCCATGCATGAGGACGTCCTACAACCACATGCATGCACCCCACCACCCCGAGGACGTCCTACAACCACATGCATGCACCCCACCACCCCGAGGACGTCCTACTACCGCATACATGCACCCCACCACCCCGAGGACGTCCTACAACCACATGCATGCACCCCACCACCCCGAGGACGTCCTACAACCACATTCATGCACCCCACCACCCCGAGGACGTCCAACAACCACATACCATGGACGTCCACCACCACGATGCACCCCACCACCCCAAGGAGTATCAAACAGACGTACATGTACCGATATACGCACCCTGCCACCCCGAGGACGTCCTACACAACCACATACATGCACCCCACCACCCGAGTATCAAACAGACGTAGCTTGTACCGATATACGCACCCTGCCACCCCGACAGCCTTCCACATTCACCCACCATCCTGACATAACCATGGACTCAGCTACACATTGCTGTGTCCCTCGTCATGCATGTTTCTTCAACACGCCATCACCTTGATGTGTCGACAGCGTCGACGTCCGTCCAGATGTTGAGGAGCTCTCCCCCGGCCAGGTATCCCAAAGCAGTACCGAAGATGACACAGGAGTAGTATGTACCTGGTTGAGAACAGACACTTCCCATCACACACTTGGGTAAATAAGTATCTTATTATCACTTGTAATTTATGGGAGGGTAAATACGTAAAGCGAGAGTCACGACGCGCGTTCTTTAAGTAGCTGTAAATCACATAACTGGCACTCAACGTTATGGCTGCCTGGGCTATCTTAAACAGTCTCTTATCCATTTGAGGATTCTTTATGAATGGACCTTATTTTCACGTTTCGCATTTTAAGAAAGAAAAATACCAACACAAGGTTGTGAGTAGGTTTCAGTTATTTAAGAATCCGAAAAGAGAGAGAGACCAAAGTGTAATTCTGACGTAGTTCAACCTCCCTGTTTGTACTGTAAATACGAAAATAAAACATATCGATACTCAAGAATCTCAGATCCTTGTGTGGTTGTAGTTGCAGGTGAATAAGGGAGGCAAGCCTATTTCCATAATCATTAGAAATCTCTACTCAAGCAGAGTCGACTGTACGACAGCGACAACACCCCAAACACACATTTATAGATCACGATTATGTAGAGGTGAAGTGAGGTGAAATTGGGTTTAACGTCGTGCTTGAGAATATTTCGCTCATATGACGACGTGCATGCGAACGCTCTAACCACTACACCACGGACGCGGTGATTATGTAGAGATGATGCCAGGTGTCCTAATACACAAAACGTTCGTAGCGATACGACATTCGTAAACCTATGATAAATTTCAGAGTTACGACAGCTCGTAACGTAACGAACACTTTGTGGATCATAACCCTGGCCCACTGGCGTCAGCTGTAACTCACCAATATACAAGGCTGACGACCTCAGTGGAAGGTTTTCATCCAGGTACGTTACCCCCAGAGTGTAAAACGGCGATGATCCGGCCCCATGCAGCAGTTGGGCGAGCACGAACACATACATGTAGTTGGAGATGCTGCCGTAGGTAGTGGTGGCGTCACAGATGCTGGTGGCGTTCCCTCCTGGAATACATATAGTGTCCTGCGCGTTATCCACAATGTACAGATCGGTGGTAAAATGCGGCAGTGCAAACAGGAACGACCCGAGTCCAAGAGCGAACACTCCGATGCCGATATAACGTGGCTTAATGCCCAGACCGCCGAAGTAGCTGACGGGAATGAGGCAGATCGCAGACGCTATGTCGTAACTGCTGACGATGGTACCCGTCTCCGTGCTGTTGATTTCAAAGCGCCGTTCGATGCTTGTGATGATGACGTTGACAAAACCGGTAACGAGCATGCCCTGAAAACGACACAAACGTTAAAGGAACATCCAATATTTCGTAAACGGTCTTGTTTTCACAGACCACTGACAGTTAATGCAGACAAAGACCAATAACGACAAGGGTGAAGGATATTGTTTTATGTCGCGGACAGATAAACATGGGACACCACATATTGACTTCACATTGTACCCAAGTAGGGATTCTTAACACCAATCGCCAATTTATACAGTATTTCACTTGAGGCTCTATCAGCTTACAGGAGGTATGGGAAGGGGGGAGGGAATCTCAATACGCGGACTCCGCATGATGACGTCATGTCACTGAGGACATGCATGTAGATGCTGCTGAGGCTTCGCTGTGTATGGCAGATGTCACGTGTCACGAGACGAGGGAGCACCTGTCAGCGTCCTACTTACAATCAGGGTGTCTAACGAACACGAGTCTGTGGGTTCACACAACGTTAAGAAAGAGAGAAGGTACCAAGCAAAGACAAGGTCAAAAGTAGATAGGATTATGTTGATTCTTTTAAACGGATAAAAAATCTAGACTTGAGTAGGAGGACTACAAAACAAAGCAAGGACATATTGGAAAACCGATGATAGATGGGTGTCCCGTAACATCTTTGTATCGACTTTCCAGAAATATCGCGGCATTGGACACAAAAAATGAGGCCTCGCACATGTGGAGAATATAATCCGGGTCTTGGGCGTGACTAGTCAAGAATTTAACTACCACGCTTTTTAAGACGTATCTAAGGATGATGTATGTAAGGATAAAGACCACTGTTTGCTCAGCCCTATCTACGCTATGTATACACAATTTACATTGTAAATATTGACAAACAGATCTTTATGTGAAGTGCATGTTTTGCACTACAGCAAACAAGCTACCCCTCTCTCTCTCTCTGTCTCTGTCCCTCTCTCTCTGTCCCTCTTCCCCCCTCTCTCTCTGTGCCTCTCTCTCTCTCTCCCTCTTCCTCTCTCTCTCCCTCCTCTCTCTCTGTCCCTCTCCCTCCCTCTCTCTCTCTCTTCCTCTCTCTCTCCTCCCTCTCTCCTCTCTCTCTCTCTCTGTCCCACTCTCTCTCTCTCTCTCTCTGTATGTATGTATTCACAGACAGACGTTTGTAATTTAAGGAACAGGCTAATCCGCGGGCTATACAGAGCCATTGCCATATTCCGGAGACCTCGACCCTGCTTGAGTAGTATACATGTGTGTGTTTTCTTATCCTCATCTCCTTAGGGGCCTATATTACATTTCACCTTAAAGTCTCCTTCTCAAGCAATGGAGGTATATATCTACAGTCCGTTTCAAGGTTCGTGGCTGTAGCCCACAAAAAGTGATCTACATGCCTGTATAAGATGACAAATCCTATCTGAAAACATGACCCACCTTTCTCTGTAACCATAGTTTGGGTGTGGATCCTGCCCTTCACCATGTATTTAAACTACCAACAACACTAATATATAACAACGTATCATGATACGTTGACATTTACCAGAGACCGACTGAACAATGTTATCAGGTCCTGACAAAGAGTTGCTGTGTCCAAATGCTGTTAAATTGATTCGAAAATGAGCTTAAAATACCCAGAAATACATAAATGAAACAGGACAAACAGATTTGAATATTCAACTGATATGCCATATACTTCCATGACAAATATTCACATAACACTGCTACAGGTCCGTGCCTCAACACAGCTTGTGTTCATCTACATACAGATAAGACCAACTTGTTTATATGAGGGCAATAACCTGCTGTCAACACAAGCCTCCGCCTGTATGTTTTTTCATGTCTGATATCGAAAAGCGTTCTGTTCCTGAACGGCATTTATATAGACGTGTTTATGTACACGCAGTGACTCATAAGCGGAGCCAGGTCAAAACTTCCCTTTTATCACACGGATATAAAAGTTTCTCTGCTACAGTAACTTGTTTGTTTGGGTGAATACTTAGGTGGTATCTGTTGTTGGTGACCCTGGGAGTATTGGCAAACTGTGGAGGAATATCTTAGCGCGTGTGTGCGTGTTGCGTGTGTGTCAGGGTCGGTGCACGTGAGTGAGTGAACGTGTGTGTGTATGGATGAAGTATGGACGGATGAGGATGGTATGGATGGATAGAAGGATGGATGGATGGAGGATGGATAGAGGATGGATGATATCGAAGGATGGATGATATCGAAGGATGGATGATATCGATGGATGGATGGATGATATCGATGGATGGAGGATGGATGGAGGATATCGAAGGATGGATGATATCGATGGATGGAGGATGGATGGATGATATCGATGGATGGATGGATGGATGGATGGATGATATCGATGGATGGATGGATATCAATGGAGGATGGATGGATGGATGATATGGATGGATGGAGGATGGATCGATGGATGGATGATATCGATGGATGGATGTATGGGTGCGTGTATATTAACACTACGATACCGATGTGTCGCTCTAAGTTATGCTGTGATCGACACCTAACCATGATTATCAAATATAAATATGCTGCGTGAAAATCTGCATAATTTGTGATGTATTTACGACAAGGCTGTACTCCCACACAAGAGTCACTAAACGGTATCACGCTGCCACAAACCGGTTTATATAGACCTTACGTCTCTTGTTTGTAAACACACGGGCATAATGGAAGCCATTAAGAGCACTTTAGATATTGTTTTGCATAATTCATATGGACTTGCTAATACAACAGGGACAGCGGGTAGTATGACAGTGTACTCTTACACATCAGAATGATCGTACAAATAGCTATCAGAAGGTTTTAGTTGTCCACACGTTCAGTACAAAGGATAAATGCACAAATGGAAATACTATTTCAAAATGAAAATTATCCATTTTAGACTCATGCTTATCCGAATGTGAAGAAATATTCCACAGAATTAAGTACTTGAGAAACAAACTATAATCTGCTGTATGGAATCTGTAAAATGTGGTGTCACGTGTTGATGGCTGGCGTCAGAGCTGCTTGGTTAAGCGACAGGAACTCGACAATGGTTATACAACATTGTATGAAGCCACTGACAAACGGTCCGATGCACAGCAATGGACGCCAACAATGTATATCAACACAGCGTCCGACCAATTTCGAATATAACCTGTTTGCGACAGGTGACTAGGTGTGGTTTTCATATGTCGATATTACCCACCGACAAATCGGGCTCTGCACGTAATTCAGAACCCCCGAAGACCTGATTTCACCAGAATATGGTTTGTCAGGACGAGATGGTTTTCCCGATGGGTTGATATTGCAATTATAGTATGACCAGAAATTATTGAGAATTTTAGGAATACGTTTAATTTGATTTCTAGTATAAACAACCTTGACCAGCTACCAAGTGCTTGGTTTCATTCAAGAGAGACAACTCCGTTAATCCTTTTTTATTAGTTTGTGAAGAGTTATCCCCCTTTGTTTACTTGCTAGCAGACGACATTTTCAGTGATCTCAGTATGGATGACTTAGGGAAGTGAAAGTTGATTTTAGAGTATTATAACAAGGGCATCAGATCAGATAAAGTGATTTCAAGTAGAACAGGCATCCCTTTGTCCACTGTTTATCGTGTTTATATAATGCAATGGATATGGCATTGAGCACCAGGGAGGCGCAGGTAGGCCCAGAAAATTGACTGTCGGTGACAGGAGGGGGCTTGGTATTCTTGTTTCTAGAAACAAACGAAGGAGTTTAGAGAACTTAAGGCTGGATATGATTGATAGAGGAACTGTGGCTGTCTGTAAGGACACAATTAGAACTGAGCTGCATGCAATGGGTTGGCAGAAAAGTCAAGGAATTCCATCACCGATCATGAAACCTGATCAAAAGGAGCGAAGGTTGAACTGGTGCTTACAGCATAGACATTTTAACTGGGACAATGTGATTTTCTCAGATGAAAGTTCTGTGTGGCTGTTTCCTAATACACTGAAATTCTGGACCAAACAAACTGAAAAACCTTTGTATCAGCGCCCAAAGTACAGTCCGAAATTTAACGTGTTGGGTGGCATATCTGCGTTAGGGGCAACGCCCCTCTGTGTTTTTGAAGGGAATATGAACAGTGAGCGGTACACAGATATTCTCGAGGGACATTTACTTCCATCTGCTCACGTGTTCTATGGAAATGTTTGGATTTTCCAGCAGGACAACGATCCAACACATCGTTCAAAGCATTCACAGGCCTGGTTTCCGACCCAAAATATGACATTATCAGATTGGCCAAGCTATACCCCTGACTTAAATCCAATAGAAAATGTTTGGGGACTTATGAAGGAAAGTGTCAATAAGAAAAATCTGACAAATATTGCTGAAATAAAAGAAGAGGTGGTCCGATATTGGGACAGCATGGACCACGACTTTCTAACTTCTTTGATCAGTAGTATGCCCCGCCGCATTGAAGCCTGCATTGCTGCCCATGGTGACTTGACAAAATACTAACTGTTAACCTGTTTTTGAATCTGGAGTTATGTTCTGCTAATATTTACATTTAATACGTGGGTAATGAGTGAAAAAAATATATAAATTACAATCTTTAAATTCTCAATAATTTCTGGTTGTACTGTGTATACAATACAAGCCATTGAACCAGAAACAAACTCATGCCTGTATTCTGGGATTGATCCATAGCCACGATCAATGTTACCTGGCTACGGTCATACTAATAGTATAATTCAGGACCAATTCCTTCAGCCCCTCCCTCGCATAGACCCCTAACGCTCATATATCGCCTGACTTAAAGACTGTCGTGATCAATATTCACTCAGCTACCTGAGTGGTTATAGCTCTGCCACAATAAATGAAACCCGAGGAAAGCTTATCTCGGGGGAATCTTGCTGACAGAAGGACGGTTAATCCCCGCAGGGAAACATATCCTTGGACAAGGACAGGTGCACGATAGACAACGTTTCTCCATGGTTTAATCACTGTATACACCAACTTATATGATAATACGTCATGAACCGAATGGTTCCATTTGCGTTTTATACAACACATTCTCATCATTTTGAAT